GCCCTACCCCGCGGCGGCCGGGCGCTTCGGTGCGGGCGCGGCGGGCGCGTTCGGCGCCGGGGGCGGCGCGGCGGGCGCCGTGCTGGGCATCGACAACGTGTGCGAGCTGGCGGCGCGGCTGCTCTTCAGCACCGTGGAGTGGGCGCGCCACGCGCCCTTCTTCCCCGAGCTGCCCGTGGCCGACCAGGTGGCGCTGCTGCGCCTCAGCTGGAGCGAGCTCTTCGTGCTGAACGCGGCGCAGGCTGCGCTGCCCCTGCACACGGCGCCGCTGCTGGCCGCCGCCGGTCTGCACGCCGCGCCCATGGCCGCCGAGCGCGCCGTGGCCTTCATGGACCAGGTGCGCGCCTTCCAGGAGCAGGTGGACAAGCTGGGCCGCCTGCAGGTCGACTCGGCCGAGTACGGCTGCCTCAAGGCCATCGCGCTCTTCACGCCCGGTGAGACGCGCTCCGATGCGCTCCGGCTCGAGCAGGCGGTCTCCGAGGCCGCGGGAGGGTGGGGGGCGACCCGGACCCTGACCCCGGCCCCCATAGCCCTCCACTCCCTGACCCTCGGGCTGCCGGACCTGGCGCCCTGCACATGCCTGAGCTTTGATGGGGGACAGTGGAGGAGGTGATGCAGGCAGGGTGGCCCCCTGATGCCCCCACCCCCCTGATCCCAGGTCTCCCTAAGAACCCAGAGCTGGGCCTGGACCCGTGACTCAAGTCCCCACAGCCTCTCTCCCTGATTCCCAGGCTCCCTGAGACTCCCACCTTCCACCCCCTCATCAAGGTGCTTTTCGTGCTGAGGGCAGAATGAGAGGTGGGGGGGGGATGCGGGAGGCAGGTCCCCGACATCTGGTTCTGGCCCGAAGTCCCTGATCTTTGTCCTCCCCAACTCCTGACCCTCTTCTGCTGCCCCAACTCCTGACCTTCCCTCTTACTGCGCAGCTGTGGAGGGCTGCCTGGCAGGGATACCCTGACAACTGGTTCTGGCCTCCCCTGAGCTTTCCACTCCTCGATTCCTGGGCCCCCAGACTTCTGACCCAGGGCTCCCAAACTGCCCCCGAGGCGGCCTCCCGGCAGGCAGCCGCGTCGTCTGGGAGTGCCTTGGGATTAGGCAGGGGCTGGTTTTGGAGTCCCTCCCACTGTGGGCAGGGCTAGGGCGGGGCTGTTCCAATACCTTCCTAGTCGTTAGTTAACTGGCTTAGTAAAGTCCTACCTTAGTCCAAAGACTGGTGGCATAGCTGGCTCTGCTCTCTGGAAGGTTCCGGATCCCACTAGGTGTCTTCATGGGGTCAGGAATGCAAGAACCAGACCCAGACCATTCTGAGAGGTGGCTTTCATTTGATAAATATGGCTTTGCCCCTCTTTCCGTCAGAATATTCTTTTTCTGCCTCATCCTTCACGGGGCTCCAATTTAGATGCTGTCACATTCACTGACACCCTAGGCCCCCCTGTCCGAATATTCTCTCTGGGCTTTGCCTTCTTTCCCAACTCCCCTCCCCAGCTTCTCTTCTCCTTGAGCCCGATTAGAACTTGTCACCCTGCCAAAGGCCTGTCTGAGCTTCTCTATCCTTTCTTGACACATCACTGCCCACCCTCCTGTGTTATTGTCCCCAGTTGAGGCCACCTAAGTCTCTCTTGAGGACTGACACTGCCTGAGATATCCTATTTGTGCCTCAGGCCTCCGTTTCCCACCTCCTGAGTGCCCCCCTCCCTCCACACCCTGAGAGCCCTGAGTGGTACCCCCCAGTCACCCCCTGGAGCCTTGCGTTTTCCTGCCACTTCCCACCCATCTGACCTTGCCCGTGTCTCCCCAGATGCCTGCGGCCTCTCGGACCCAGCACACGTGGAAAGCCTGCAGGAGAAGGCGCAGGTGGCCCTCACCGAGTACGTGCGGGCCCAGTACCCGTCCCAGCCGCAGCGTTTTGGGCGTCTGCTGCTGCGGCTCCCCGCCCTGCGTGCTGTCCCTGCCTCCCTCATCTCCCAGTTGTTTTTCATGCGCCTGGTGGGCAAGACGCCCATCGAGACGCTGATCCGAGACATGCTGCTGTCAGGAAGTACCTTCAACTGGCCTTATGGCTCAGGCCAGTGACTTCACGGGGCCCGGTGCGCTGTGGCTGGGTCTGCAGACCTCAAGGGATACGGATGCTTCGGCCTCGGGCGGGGCCCCCCAGCGGAGGACCCTGGCTTCTCTTCTCAGACTCCTATTTTTTAAAGACTGTGAAATGTTTGTCTTCTCTGTTTTTTAAATGATCATGAAACCAAAAAGAGAGTGCTTGTCCAGGCGCCAGCCCCGGCCTCCTCAGAACTCCTGGCCAAAATAAGAAGGGGAGGGACTGAGGGCTCCCCTCCTGGGACAGCCTGTAGCTCAGTGCCCCAAGCACGAACTTTTGGGACGGTGGGGGTTGGCTTCCCTGGTGTGATGGACAAAGGCCTGGTGGCTGGACTAGCTGGGCGGCCGCAGCCGGGCAGGGGTAGTATCTATCAGGCAGACCCTCTGGACACGTAATCCACGTTGGACACTACATGATGAATGAATCAAGGCCAATAATAAAGCTATTTCCTAACTGCACGGCCTCCATCATCTATCTTCCCGAGGGGAGGGGAGCATGGGGGGCGGCCTACCATGGCCACCTGCTCCCAGCCTCCTGGAACACCCACAGCCTAACGACAGCCCTACTTGATGTTTGTTTGTTTGTTTGTTTTGTACGGTTTTGTGGGAAACAAGCCGGGGGCGGGGAGGGGACCCCCGTGGTCAGCTAGTGAGTCCGTAGGAGCTGAGTACTAAATACTACAGATGGCTCGGGTTCAGATTCAGGCCCTGGCCTATGAAGGTAAGCCTCATAGATTCACACAGGCCCTGGACCAAACACCTTACTGTTAACCTTTGGTCAGCCTTTAATCATGGTGTCTGAGCCCTGGTGTCCTCTGGAGAAATATTCGGGGTGGTTCTGCCACCTGATCTCAGCCTAGACAGTGCCCACAGCAGTTGGTTCAGGGAGGGCACGGGGCCCAGAACCGGCCACTGAGACTTGATGGCGGGATTTGGAAGCTGTAACTGAAAGCAGAGCCAAAAGAGGAAGACCAACTTCACCCAGGATGCCTTTGAAGCCCCTGGATCAAGCCATTCCTGAAACCTTTCGGTGCATCCGTTCCACGATCTGAGATTTACTCTTTGGGGCCTGAGTCCGTCTGAGTTTGGTTTCTTCTCACATGTAACTGAAAAACTTTCAGAGATTGGCATTTGGAAGGTGGGACAGCTAAGGACAAACTGAAACGTGGACTTAGGTCGATGTGGGGAGAGGCAAGGCACCATGGACCTTGCCATCCTGGTCTCAGAAGTTTGTGGCCCGGCCCTGGTGGCAAAGGCGCCTGTGGGGTTGACTGCCGGGACTGCGGCTCTAGGGGTGGGTAGTTAGGGCCTAGATGGCAGAGGAAGGAGGGTGGCACTCTTGGCCCTGCTGAGGTCTTGTTGGGAAGACAAAGATGCCCCTGTGAAAACGGAGAAGAACTCTGGTCTTGCCCCACAGGCTGGGCCTGTGCTCAGCCCTTAAACCTCCTCCAAAAGGCTTCCCATTAGCACCCAGCCTCCTTCACATCCATATTGTTGGAGGCCTGGGAAGTTGAATCCGTCTCCTGTGGAATAAAGGATGGTCTCGTGGGTATGCTCTGCCCTCCGACGGGACTAAAGTAGGTACGGGATGGAGAGGATACTGGGCTCCCATCAGAGGGTGGGCTGTTTCGGCCCCGCGTCAGCATCTCCCATGATGTCCTGCAGGTGAGCGAATGTCCCTCCCGTTGGGCTGGACAGCGATGCTCTGTTAGATTCACAGGACATCTGAGAACTGAGCAGGACCATTCTGTCCGTCCTGCCCTCCAGTCCCTGGGCCAGAGACCTGGATGTCTGTCTCGGCCTGACTGCAGAACTCCTACTCCTCCTACAAAACCCCACCCATATGGCCCTTGAAGACGACATCTTGAGGCTCTGGTTAAGACTGTCATCCAGCCTTTTGTTATTCCTCTTACCACACCGGGCCCAGGCCCATGGTCCCTGAGCGTAGAAACTCCATGACTACTGGTTCTGGGACTGAGGACTCTGCGACTGAGTGGCTGACCCTGCCTTCCCTGCCTGTAGTATGCCTCCCTGATCGTCCCCATCACCCTTGCTCCCCTGGCACGCCAGCCCCCACCCACCCTACTCAGGGCCCGGCATGCGGTGGGCACCCTGCGACTCCCAGAGCCAGGCACAAGAGCTGTACTCACACAGTGCCTGGCATCAGTCACTGCCCGGCCTACAGTGCCCCAGTAGAAGTGGAGATTTTTAAGGGCTCATGTATCCGGGGTGGCCTCAGGGACTCCAGCAGGGCTCCTGGGCTGAGTCCGCCCCCTTCAGGAGGTCCCCAGTACTGCACCACATGAATTTTGTATCACGACCACCGAGCAAGACTAGGGAAGGTCCTCTGCCAGTCCTGCCTCTGTTACTGGACCTGCCGAGACTTGTGGCTCCTGGGGCTCCCCTAGACCAGGCCTGGCTGAGCAGGTGATGCCGGATGTCAGCCCCTCAGCTTCCCACCAGAAGACCACATGCGGTTCTTGGAGGAGAGGGAGCTCTCCGGACAGACAAGGGTTCACAGCCTGCCTGGACAAGTCTCTTTTCCAGAACCTTGAGTTTTTAACTCTGGGAAATGGAGTAACGATTGTTTTGGTGACAACTGAGTGAAATCAGGAATGTTAAACGGCTGTACACAGTAGGCATTTAATAAATGTTTATTACACTGGGATGGGAACGAGGAAAGACCTGCTTCCAGGGGATGGGCTGAGATCTGGGCTCAGGGGCCTGGGGTCCCAGAGGAGGTTCTGGGAAGGCTTCCCGGAAGAGGGGGCCATCAGAGCTAGGTCTCAAGGGCTGAGGCATTTGCAAAAGCTACCCCAGGAAGGGGTAGCAGCAGGAGCTAAGGCCAGGAGGTAGGAAGAGAGGCAAGGGCGGGGCGGCCCCCCCACCCCGATGTGTCCCTCTGCCTGTCTGCCGGGGCGCTCAGAAGTACACGGAACTCTTCTGGTCTCCTTGCTCGTCAAATTTCTGGATCTGTATCTTGAGGTGCCTTAGTTTGCCCTTCAGGTAGTGGCAGCGAGCCTGCTTGTCCAGGAAGCTGGGGTCCTGGGCAGGGCAAGAGCCAGGAAAGTCCTTGTAGCGGTCTGGCTTACGGCCCTCCGCTGCTCAACCCTCTGCCTTTTCCTCTCTGAGCCTCAGTTTTCTTTCCTCGAAACTGGGCACACTGAGCCTCATGGGAACGTCATGGGTGCAAAGCCCAGGCTGTGGGATTCAGGAGGCATGACTCACCGTCTGTTTCTTCTTAAATTCCCTCCAGACTCGGGCGGCAAGTTGGGCCTCCTTCTGCAAGTGGAAAGGGGAGGGTTGGGGTGGGGTGGCTCACAGAATGCTGAACCCCAGGAGGGATGGGGAAACTGAGGCTCAGATGGACAAAGTGACCCGTCTAGTGAGGACTTCAAGGGCTGACTTTGGCCCCCGTGCTGTGGTGCCCACCCAGCCTACAGGAGAAAGAGGCCCAGGGACCTGGACCCAGGGGGTGTCCCAGAGGCCAGGGTCCATCACCGGGAAGGGCTGTGGGGCAGGGGTTTCTCCCGCCGCTGACCTGGCTTCGGGGCCTCGGCAGTGAGTTCAGCAAGGTCTCCAGCTGTTGGAGTTTTGCCCGTGCACAGCCCACCTCTTGCTGGAGCTCCAATAACTCTGTGTACTGGTCCTGGAAGACTGCAACATAGCGGCTCCGTTCCCTCTCACTCCTCACTTGTGGGTACTTACTGCGGGGTTCAAGTGGGTCAGAGTATGAGTGTGAAGAACCCGTCCTGCTCCCCCAATCCGTTTAATTTGTTTTCCTTTGCCCATGTTGGGCTCCCTGTCCCCCACACCCCTTTTCTTTTCTCTTCTTACTATCTGGTAAACTTTTATCCACTTGTCAAAGCCCCAGCCTCAGTGCACCTTCCCTGTTCCCCGGCATCAGGAACAACGTGGGGGACACTCACAGCTCATAGTCGGGCACTGGGTGGGGCCTTGGCCTACGCCCCCCAGGGATGGCTTCAATAGGCTTCTTGGTGCCCAAGAGGGCCCGGGAGGGCAGCTCATCCTCAAACACAATCTTCTTGGGTCTGGCCCTGTGGGCTCCTGGTTGAGGCTCGCACAGAGCGCGGGGAGGGCTGGTTTCCTGGACTGGAGGCACCAGTCGCTGCAGGTGCCGCAGGAATCATGGTTTGGAGTTAACCAGGGTATGGGGAAGCCGGAATCCCTCAAACGGCGGGGAAGGAATCTTTTGCCTAGGTTCGGCCTGGGAGCCCTCCTCCCGTCCAGACTCACCGGGGGCCCAGGGCCAGGCGGGCGGGTCTGCAGATCCCCCCGATAGCCGCGGGTCTTGGGGCTCTCCCGGGTAGGCATCCGCCTCGGGGAGGCGCCGCTCGGGCGTCCCTGGGGCGGCGGGCGGGTCTTGCGAGGGACGCCGCGGCCCGCGCGTGGCGGGGGTGGTCGGCGAGCTGCCTGTGGACACGACAGAAGGACGCGCCTGGAGGCGGGCAAGGTCGGACGACGCACCGGCAGGTGGACCGGGAGCGGCCAACTCTCCGCGGACCCGCGAGCTCGCAGGCTCCGTTGCTATTTGCATAGACGCGCTCGATTGGCTCTCAGAGCAGCCCGCCCCTGGCTGCGTAACCCGGAAAAGCACTACGACCGTGACGTCACCGCGTACCCTGAGCCGGCCAGGCTCCAGTTAACCCCCGAGAAGCCGCAGCCTCGCCCACTACGGCGCGTGAAGCCTTCGGACACCGCCCCCGAGAAGCACCCCCCCCCCCGGGACCTCCGCTCCAGCGGCAGTCCGCAGGGACCGCTCCCGTCCGGGGTCACCTGTCCCAGCGTCCGGGTCTCCGAGCCTGGGTCCGCTCCCGGAGAGGCGCCTGAGTCCCGGTTGTGCATTAACTTCTAAGGCTGGACACAACCGGAGGGGTCGCTTCACAGGGCGGGGCGGGTCCTAGCGGGATTGGGCGGGGTGGGGGCGGGGCCCGGCGATGAGGGAAAAGGATCCTCCTTTGAATCGCAGGTTCGAGTCCAACCGAGCCGGTGACTCACCTCCGACTCTCAGTTTTTTTGGCCTGAAACACCGGTGGTTTTGGCAAACTTGTACTTATCTACTTACTCAGAAATTATATTTTAAAACTATTTCTCTAATCACTAGATTATTATTCTCTGACCCGATGTAAAAGAAATACTGGTTTTCCTACAACTTTTGTAACTCCAGTGCTATTATGGTTTCCCACAAGTATGTTTTCAGTTTTAAATCTTGACTCATCTGGTGAGAGAAAAAGCCCAGAAACGATTTGTCTGTTTTCTTGCAAATTTGTTGTTGTTGATTTTTGGGAGCTCTTTGTTTAGCAAGGATGGTGCTCAACCAAATAGTGTGTCTTTTCCTTTTACTATTATAAGCGAGGTCTTTCAATAAGTTTACTTTTTTTTCCCATGAGGGAAACTAAGTATTCGTAAGTCCTTTTCTGTTTTACTTAATTCTCTTAACTGAAACAGCTTTTTTATTTGGGTTTTTCATGTAGACAGTCGTATCATCCGCAAATAACTCTGCCTTTTTTTCTCATTTCTTCTTTCTTGTCTAGTTGTATTGACCAGCACTTCCAGACAAATCTCTGGGGGAGTTGGGTGAACTGTGGGCCTCCCCCCATCTCCCCCTTCCTCACTTTGATGGCAGAATTGCCTGTATTTATTCATTAAATTCAATGCTGTCTTTGGCTTGAGATTTTTCAGTTAAATGAGGGGAATATCTATCTTTGCCTAATGTTTATTGAGAGATGTTGAGTAATGGACACCGTACGGTCCAAAGTGCCATTGATTCACCCCACGATTTTGTTTCCTGATGTGTTAATGTGGCTATGTTGACCCATCTCTGCAACTTAGGTGTGAGCCTTCTTAAGATCTGGTTTTTCCCCCCCAATTTTATTTTTAAGTAATCTCTATACCCAGTGTGGGACTCGAACTCACAAACCTGAGATCAAGAGTTGCGTGCTCTACTGAGCCAACCAGGTGCTCCTTAAGATCTATTTAAAAAAAAATTTTTTTTTTCTAATGTTTATTTATTTTTGAGAAGAGAGAGACAGAGCATGAGCGGGGGAGGAGAGAGGAAGAGGGAGACACAGAAGCCGAAGCAGGCTCCAGGCTCCGAGCTGTCCGCACAGAGCCCGACACGGGGCTCAAACTCACGGACCGCGAGATCATGACCCGAGCTGAAGTTGGACGCTCAACCGACTGAGCCACCCTGGCGCCCCAATCATCTTCAGTTTCAAGGAAAGCCCAGCACTGACACTCCCTCCTCCAGGCCGACCTCCAGGCATAGCCCCATTTCTCCCCCACCCTCCCCTTGATCCCACAGGGCTGAAGGCACTGTTGGCCTTCGACTCTATCAGACCGGAGGCTCCTGGGGCTTCTTGGGACCTGGCCTTTTGCAGTGTGGGGTAGGTACCAGGGGGGGAATCCGAGGGGGGATGGTCCTCTGAGTCCCTTCCCAGACTGACCTTCCTCTCCGGCTCGTGCATCCTCTGTGGCTCTCAGGAACCTCCAAAGACCCTCCCATATTGTTGCCTAGCCCAAAGGGCACCCGTGAACACGGGTGGAGGGCAGACGGATGCGGGGGGCCAGCACAGGTCTTTATTTGAGTTTGGGCATGATGCGGATGAAGAGGACCATGCTGATGAAGATGAAGCAGACAATAACAAGCATGGCCCAGAGCAGCCAGTTGACCGACTTCTGCGTGTGTTGCTCCAGCCGCTCCGACTCCGTCTTCAGCTTCTCCAGGTTCTGGTCAGCCATCTTGAGTGAGTGCGACAGGGTCTGTGGGGCAGGTGGGGAGAGTGTCAGCGGGACTGCAGCCAAGCGTGGCCTCTCGCCACCACCCTGGGGTAAGTCCCCTCTTGGCCCTGGCTGGTACTGCGCCCTCTGCTGGGAAGTCCACTTTTGCCTTCTGTCAGACTCCTTGATCCAGCAAAGCCCTGGCCCCCATGCCCCTCTGCTGGGAAGCCTTGTCTGGCGTCCCAGGGCAGAGGCTGAAAAGGCCCCACAGTCCTCACACCTGGTTGTCCTTCTTAATGACGCTCTGGGCGGCCAGTGTGTTGGTCTTGAGGCTCCGGGCCAGGCCTAGCATCTCCTCTGCCAGCTTCTCCTGGAGGTTCTGATGTCGCTGCAGGACCAGATCTAGTTCGGCTGCCGACTGTTTCTCATCGCCTGGCCTGGGCCCTGCCACCCCACTGCCCTCACACGTGGGCGGACAGGCGGGCGTGGGATAGGAAGAGACCAACATGTTCCCAAGGAACCCAGAGGTTATGGCTCCGGCCACGGCCCTCCTTGGGCCTCAGTTTTCCCCTTCTTTACTTTGGCTTTTAGGAAGAACATCCCCACAAGTGGCTTCTGATCGATGGTTTAGATGCTTGTGGTGGCCCTCAGGGTTTGGTGCCTCAGTGGCCCAAGGTTCATCCAGCCCCCCCCCCCCCGGGGGGGGGGGGGGGGGGGGGGGGGGGGGGGGGGGGGGGGGGGGGGGGGGGGGGGGGCGCGGCCAGCTCGGGCTCGGTAAGTGAAAAAGGCCAAGCAGGAAGGAGGAGAGGATTGGTTTCCCGTTTTCCAACTTCCTGATCATCGCTTGTGCTGTGTCTGCTACTCATAATGTTGTTTCCTGTCTTGTCTGCTGCCCAGTGAGCTCCTGATCATGCTTCAAAGCTCTAGGTCAAATGCCCTCTCTTTTAAGAAGTTTTCCTTATCCTTATCTGGGCTCCCCCAGGCCCCAGGTCCCTCTGCTAGCCTAACCTGTGGGCTGGGTGTATCCGGCTTTATTTCCTCTGGGGCCCATCTCCTCTGTCCTGGCACCCCCATCAGGCTTAACTAGGTGATGCCCCTGGGGATGTGCTCCCTGGGCTGTGAAGACCGTGGAGGAGGCAGGTGAAAGAGGCAGCACATGTCTTGTCCCAGACAGTTAAGCCTCAAGTCCTGTTTTATTCAGGTTGACTCACCTCCAGCAGAGTCCTATGGGAAAAAGAGAGAGGTATGAAGTCACCTACCTGGTAATGCCCCCAAACTGTCCTTTCTGCTCTCGGAAACTCCCCACTCTTAGTCAGGGCCCTGGGCAAGTCCTATGACCTCTGTGCCTCAGTTTCTTCATATTGAGGGTTTACCTGACCCACGTAAAGTGTTCAAAAGGACACCTGTCATCCTATTTTACAGGTGAAAAAACTCGTCCACTTGTGGCAAGATGAGATAAACTCAGTCTGTCTGTGGCAAACTTGTCTATCTGTTGCTCTGGGCCAACTCTGGGGCTTAACGAGATAGGTGCCATTTTCGCCTTGTACCAAACTCCTAGATATCTAGCAAAGTCCTGTCTAGGCCCTTCTGTTGGGAAGCCTACTGTGGGCCCAGGGTGGAGGCTGTTGGGCCCCTTAGGGTCCCTGCACCTGCCAGGGTGGGGTTGTTCTGCTACGCACAGGCACTAATCTCCTGTCCCTGGCCAAAGGGTTCCCAGGGATCAGGGAGAAAGCCCTACCGTGCCTAGAAGCTCACTCCGCATTTCGCTGGTGTACCGTGCCCGGGACTGCAGATGCACTGTCTTCGTGGCGGGTACCCGCTCCTTGGCTGTGGTTGGTACACGGCCAGGGGCCAGGAACTGGTTGGCTAGTGCTTTCTCTGAGGAGGAGGTCTGCAGAAGAGGGAAAAGGGGTCACCGGACGGGCAGGTCCTGGGCAGGTGAGCATGATGAGGGCCGAGGAAGTAGAGTACCCCTGCTCACCAGCTTCTCTGCCTGCAGCATCCCCTTCAGGAAATCTACCTTGCGGGAATATTCATTGATCACCTCGGAGGCCGGTTTGCTGGAAGGTGAGAAGAGGAAAAAGAAAACCTGCTCACTGCCTCCAGTTCTGGGAAGGGTGTCAGCAGGGGCTGGAGCCCAGGGATTCCCCAACAGGGGCTGGCCTTCAGGCCTCGACTCCCATCCCTGATTTGAAGCCCCTGTAGCCGCCGGCACTCACCTTGCCTGGGTTTTCAGGGCCTGCAGCATGTCCTCGAGAGCTCCCACGTACTGGGGAGGGAAAGTGGGGTGTAAGCCTGGTTCCCCCCCCCCCCATCCTCCCACTAATAACGCTCAAAGGTGGGGTGGTCAGAGCCATCAAGGGGCGGGACCAGGACGGGGGCAGGACTGAAAAGGGAGGAGCCACGTCCCAGGGGGCGGGGCCAGCTGAGCTTCAGGGAAGAGGGCGGGAGCCGCAGGTGGACGTGGCGGAGCCGACCGGAAGGGGCGTGGCCAGAGCGGCTGTTGGGACTGGGGAGTCGGGCCCGGTGGCCGTCAGCCCCGTAGGCCGCCTTCTGGGAGTCGAGTTGTACTCGGAAGTACAGGTTTCCCTCACCTTTTCCAGACGCCACTCGTCCGGGTCCCTCTTCTCCGCTGCCATCGTTTCGCAGCGGCAGAGCAGCCGCACCAGGTTCAGCTCCAGCCTCGACGCTGCCATCCCCTCTCGGCGGTAGCCGGTCCCTTCCGCCGGCGCCATCTTGGAAAAGGTCGGAAGCGCCCTCGTTTTGACCTCTTCCGGTCGCGTCGGCCGCTCGCTCGCTGTTCCATCTTTGTTTGGGGCGGAAGTAACGTCTTATTTCAAGGAGGGGCGCTGTGCTGTCCATGTTTATTCAGGACTGAATCGCTTTTTTTTTTTTTTCCCCCCTCGCAGGCGTCTTAGCTCTTCCGGGAGGGTTGAAAGGACCGGATCCTTCAGGTCCATGTGCAATATACGTCCTCTGCTTATTCTTTTCTTTCTGATCGGAATTCCTTCCCCCACACCCACTCCTGTTTGGGTTCTTCTCATACTGAGCTCTTCCGTATCCAGGCAGCCTTCCCGGTTCTTCCTGGGGTACGGCCCTGGGACTAAGGAATCCAAGGCTTAGGGGCCCATCCAGTTTGTGATTATGTTCTTCCGGGTCTGACGCTGACTCAGACTTGAGCGAGGTTTAATTTTTCTGGGCTCGGTTCCTCCTTTGGGTGGAACTTTGGGTGGTGTGACAAAGCCTGCCTCCAGGGGAACATTAGCTAGCCCTGGGGTGAGAGGTGGGGCGGGGTCGCCCCTAACCCACCAGGCCTCATGGAGAGAACCCCACCTGGGTCCCCAGCCCTCCAGCTGAAGCCCATCCTGTGAGCTCCTCCCACCCCAGGCTTGCAGACCGGGCGAGGAGGGGGGACTTTAGAGGGACTAGGGCCTGGCATGCAGCCCTCATCCATCTTCCCACTCCTCACGTCACTTGTGTCCTGGTCACACCTGTGGGCCTGGTGTTCTCGAGAAATACTATGGAGGAGAGGAAACCCAGGGTAGATGAAGGAATCCAGGGGGCAGATGAGGCAGGTTCTGAATCCCAGCCCTGTCCCATCCCAAATACATGGCCTTGGACAAGCCTCTCAACTCTCCCTCATGTGCAGTCTGGACTAGGGTTCTTCACTGTCCCCCACCCCACCCCCATGGGCCCCACCTGCCAGCGGGTTCCCACAACTGCCCATCTGATTTGCAGCCTGGGAGCTGGTCTGAGGGGATGGTGGGGGTGTGTGGTTTCTAGCTCTGTTGGGCTCACCAGGAACCGATTCCTTCATAGGGCAGATGGCCCCTACAGCTGACATTTAAGCCCTACCTGGGGAGAGACTGGGTGCTGAAACAGGGCACCAGGAGGCAGCTCCCAGGACAACAGGCTCTGCCAGCCCCTCACCCCCATTTCCAGATCAATTAACAAGCCCTTCCAGCAAGCCCACCACTCTAGCACCTGGAGTGCGTGTGAAATTCCAGCAGCAGCATTTGTGGGACAATCGAGGCAGGTCCTCCCAGACCCGGGGGGGCACATCCCCCTGCCCTGCACCCCTTTTGGCTGAGGTCACAGGGTGGACCCCTCCCCCGCCCCACCTGCCAACCCCTGCTCCTCCAACTCTGAACCAGTCCGAGCAGGAATTGCACGCAAACACTTTTCAGGCACTTTTTATTTCACACGGCTCGTGGGGCACCTGGGGCACCTCTCGTACCAGACCTGTGGCCGTGTGTCTGGGGAGCGACCCAGGCCTGAGAGAGAGGAAGCCCCACTCCGGAGATTCCCCAGACTGTCACTGTTGACCAGTAGGAATGTACAACCCCAGGCCTTGCCCTCCCTGCCGGTGAGTGGTCCTGAGTCGCGGCTCCTGTTCGCCACACGGAACGGGCGGCGTGCCAAGGATGGCCTCCTCCAGCCTCCTGAGTCCAGGGTGTGGTGGACAGAAGAGTGACGGCCACATTCAAGTCTCCCTGGGATGTGAGGTCTGTGGTGCTGCGGGCGGAGGCTGCCTACCACCCTGTGTCCTGACTCCAACCACCAGCCTTGATCCCCAGAGAGGCTCCAGCGCTCCCTCAGGTGCATGCCAGCCAGGTGGCCGGTTGCCAGCTGGGCCAGAGGAGGAGTCTGAGACGGACTTGGGGCAGTCAGGTGCCCCAAGGGTCCAAATCCCCTGCGCACGGTCCTGGCCCTCAGACCACGGGCCCCGAGCCGTCCTCAGTGCGAGTCTGGGCCTCCTCCGTGTGGCGGCTGTTGCGGGCTTTGCTCCAAAGACTCATGTCCAGGTTATAAGGGCGATGCAGGGCGTTAATATAAAAGTTTGTACATACACGTATAAAAAACAATTTGGTCTCTTGTTAAGGCTGTTACAGTTTGAAGTTATGTAAACCACGCACGAAGAAACAGTTACCATAAAAACAAAAAGGGAGGTGGGAGATGCCAGGCTGCCCACTGATTTGGTGCTCTGGGTGGGCGTGTCTGTGTGACGTGGGGGCCCAGCCAGGGCGACCGGGCCTCGGCTGGCCTCTCCCCGCCTGGACTCTGCGCTCAGAGCTGACGCCCACCTCACATTGCTTTCGGAGCTTTTCATTCGGAATCCTTCTCGGCCAGATGCTGGCTCTGCAGCTCACGCCCAGCTCCGGCACTGGGTCGTCCTCAGACACGCGGCCTCTGGCACTGTGTGGGCCCTCAGCCGTTGGCCTGGCCCTGGGTGGGGGGCAGGCAGTAGGTCGGGGGGTCCGAGTACCTCCGCTTGGCCCCGGGAGGCTGGGCGTCCTCGTCCGGGGGCTCCCGAGTGCCCCGCGCGGGCAGGTGCGTGCCGGGTGTGATATACACAGAGTGCACCTGGTCCGGGCGGCGGGCGGGCGGCTCTCGGCGCCTCACTAGGGCAGCACCCTCCTGGGCACCCGGTGCCCGGCCAGGGAGGTGGGAGGGTAGGCCGGGTGGGAGCTTGATGTTGGCTGTGGGCATGATGGGGGTCCGCCGGGGGGTCTTCACTCTGACCGTCACGAAGGACGACGGCCTTCGTCGTGGAGGGGCGGCTGCCACGGGGAGGGGGTTCAGGGCGGGCGCGCCGGGGCTGGGGAGAGCAGGCGCGGGGGGCCCTTTTGAGAGACAGACGGCAGGGTTACTGCAGCTTCAGGGCCAGTAGATGGACCCTTGCCCCAGGGCCTGCCGGTGGTGGACACGGGAAGGAGAAAAGCAGACGCCGCCTTAATACTGACCTTCTGAGGCCCCCCGCCCGGCCCGCTCTTCCAACAGGCTCTCGGTGCTGGCCGACGTTTCCGAGTCCAGGTTTTCCTCGTCGGAGCCCCGAGGGTCCAGCTCCGGCAGCCGGTAGGTGATGTCCTCCCTGGGGATGAAGGGGTCACGGTGTCTAAGGCTGTTCCCAAGGTGAAAGACCACCCCTCCAGAGTGCCAGCCGCCGGACAGGGGGCAGAACAGGCCTTCCTGGTCCTGGATGGGAGTCCCTGCTCCCAGCACCCCCAACACCCGTCCCCAAATCACACCTGGCCCGGAGAAACTCATGGGAGGGATGTGTCAGGCTGCTGAGGGAAGGCCCTGAACTGAGCTAGTGACCTGCTTCTGCCTCAGGGCCTTTGCAGGTGTTGTTCCCTCTGCCTGGAGTACCCTACCTTGTTCCTAAGACTCGGGTGGCCAGGTGGCCTGGGTCACACCTGTTCTCCTGGCGTGTTAGTGGTGCCCTAGTCACACGTCTTGGCGGCACGACAGATTGGTTGGTCACTCCAGCCAAGACCAACTTCCAGGCAAAGTTTGGGCATTACCCCTCTGCTGCCCCTTCTTTCTTTGTGGGCCACCGCGGTTCCCGGTGGCCAAGTGTGGGGTTTAAACAGAGCCCCAGGCTGCGTGTTAGGACAGCAGCACCCCACAAGGTGGGTACTGGATGGCGGGAACGAGCCTAGCCCGTCAGCCTCCTAACAGCCAGGTCCGCTGTGGCAGAGGGGCCTGGGGGTGGGGGCCGGACGGCGGAGCCGAGGGCAGGAAGGGGGCAGAGACACTTGCTTCTCCTCCTTGATGGACTGGATCCGCTCAATGAGGATCTCCTTCTCGCGGTCCTCGTCACCGCTGGGCACTTCCTCTTCTGGCAGCACCCCGAGGTCCTCCAGGCCGCCCGCACTGCTTCCCCGGGTCTTGGGGCTCTTGTTCTGCAACAGACAAACGGCAGGTCTGGCTGGCCTCTCTGGACGGTGGGCTCAGTGCTCACGGGAGGGAGAGGGTGGTGTGAACGGCTCTGGGAGAGATTAGTTCTGATGTGGAAGGGTGGGCTTAGTGAGGCTGCTCCGGGGATCAGGTGGGGACCGAGTGGCCGGTGCTCGGCTGATTAGTCATCCTCAGCGCAGGTGGGCAGCAGGCGACGGGCCTCCCCCAGCATGCACTTCCAGAAGGTTAGGACACGCTCAGTCTATCCTAGGAGACCACGGGCACGAGGTGAACCCAGCATGCACCACGCCCGGAGACATGCAGGGTGGGCCCGCGGAACATGTACATACCAGGACCCCCTCATAGGGAGACGAAAACCCCAGTTTGAGAGGCCATGGCTGGGAAAGAGATGAACAGAGGGTGACCACACAGGGCCACGATCACCACACGGGTGTAAGTCACGGGCACCGGAGCCACATCTGGCTGCGGGGACAAGGATGGGGTCCTCCCCCGGGAGCCCCAGACCTGCCTCCCCCTCAGCCCCCACCCCCACTGTAGGGCCACTTCTGCTGTGGGAAGTCTTCCCCGTAGGCGGGGCTGGTGGATGACCTGAACCATCACCAAGCGGGTGCCAGGTCCCCTGCTGCCCTTTGAGGGGCAGTCGGCATGAGGCTGGGGGAGGGAGGCGGTCGTTTAGCCGGTGTGGGGGACCTGGCTCCCAACCTTGCTCCCATGAGGCCCCTGGCCAGGCAGCTTGTGGCCGAGGGTGGGCAGGGAGCGCAAGGAGTGATGGCGTGAGGCCCCGCCCCACGCCCAAGCCCCGCCCACCGGCCCCGCCCACCCCTCCACTCACAGTGTTCTGTCGCAGGAGGGAGAGTCTGCGGAAGGCGATGCTCTCCGCGGCTTCCAGCTGGCTGATCTCCTCCATCTTCACCTTGTACTTCCTCATCTGTTCCTTGATCAGCATCTCCACGCACCTGCGGAGAAGGTGACTCAGTCACTGCCCCAGGACGGCCAGCGTCAGGGCCTGGCGTCTAGAGAGGCACTGGCCGGAGACTGGGGCACGGCGGCCAGGC